CTCACCACCGATCAAAATGCTTGCATGAATGTGAACTAAAGGGAGAATCAAGAGAAAGACGAGAATGATGGGGAAGGGAGTAAAGGAGAAAAAGGAGGGTGAAGCTAGGAATAGGCCTATATACCTGCTTGGGTGTGCGGCCCATTATCGGACTTGAAAGTTAGAACTCGCACTTGGTCTGCGAAACACGCCTAGGTTACTTACATGTAGATGATGGATTTAGAGCAATCAGTTCCAATTCTCGTCACTCTCTGTGGAGCTGCTCGTGCAAAAACCGTACTATTTAAATTTCCATTTTTTTTTCTAATTCGAAATGTCAGTTGACGGTATGCACTGAGTTACAGTCCCCTCCCCCGAACTATTAGTATTGGGAGGTCGTCATGTACTTCATCCTCTTTTGATGTTACCGCTCCTCCTTTTGTCTTCTTCAAGTTAGCGTCGCGCAAAACAACAGCAACTTTTGCTAAATGACGGCTACGACAGCTGGCAACATCCAGCATGTTTCTTTTTCTCTGGAAAACAGTCACAAATTTTTGCCTCATTTTGAGAAACAAACATGCTCCCAAGGGACTAGCGAGCGGGCAAATACAAAACCGTTTCTGTAAACTTGCAAAAATGCCACAGAAGATGGCGGGTTGCGCACATCCTCAAAAAACTGAAGTTCAAAAGCACAAAGCAGGCAGCTGGATATCACAACAAAACGGATCAGATTTAGGTCTTATCTGACGAAGTATTCCGCCTACACTAGTCACAAAGGATATTAGTGACGGCGCCATTTACTTTATCATAGTGGCCCATCAGCTCTCTCTGTCATCACTGCCATTATCACGCTCAATATCATCTTCATCTTCACAGCCATCGTCAACGTCATCGTCCTCAGTAGCACTATCATCGCTGTCAACATTATCGCAAATGATTTCGAAAAGTTTCATTTCCCTCTGCGTTAAGTTTGCACTTCCGCTGTTGTCACTCGCAAACCCCCGCTTGCGCGAGTGCCCATCGCCCGGATATCGCTCATTCCATTGCGTAGCGCCGTCGCCAGCGTCTACACAAATGACATATGCAC